TAAATTTATTTTTTAAAGTGTTATGAACTGGATTGGAGGGTTGAAACAGAAAAGCCTAATCACTAAAAGAAACGTGTTAATTAGGATTTGACCTACTGATTAGCTCTTTATAGCTTTTCAAGTGTCCCTGACTCAATGCAAACAGAAACAATTTTAAAATGGAGCTGTTAATAAAGCTTCTATAATGCTCTAATTTTGTCTCTGCAGACCTGCTGCGGATGTTCTTCGACGCCTTGTATGATGAGGACGTCATTAAAGAGGAGGCCTTCTACGAATGGGAAACCAGCAAAGACCCGGCAGAGCAGACAGGCAAAGGCGTGGCCTTGAAGTCGGTCACCGGCTTCTTCACCTGGCTCCGCGAGGCCGAAGAGGAATCTGACAAGGAGTAAAATACTGAACTAAAAGCTGCCGCCAGAGCTCTGCAGGCGACCACGGAGAGTCATGGACAGTATTGCCAGAGAGGCAGACTCGAATCAATCCTCAATGAGGATAAATCTTTATTGTGTTCCTTTTTTTTCTTCTTTTTTTGGAGGGATGGACTCTGAAAAACAATCATTTCTTTTCTACCTTCCCTCTCCTGCTTCCTCATTATTTCTCCACCTGCTTGTCACAGCAAGTGTCCTCATCAAAGCAAACTTGAAAATGCAGGTTTCAGCAGGATTACTCATTAGCGAGGTGTGAAGTATCCCACATCACTACGAAACTTTCTATGTCAAAGTAAAGCAAACCAACTGGCTGCTCTTTCACCCCTCTAGACGATTCTAATGACAAACAACCTTTCTGATCTACAAGAGGAAACAGCAGGGCGTGAAGTGTAGCGGGCGGGTGGGTTGGTGGAGGGGGGTTTATCAACATGCCATAACATTTGTTCAGTCCCGACACGGCTCTTATGTCCTTGTCCTTTTCCGGAGTGTGCAGCATGACTGAAGTGTGTTCCTATTAACGATCCAGTGGACAAAACGTTACAGTGTACATGAACTAATCTTAATTTGATGGAGTTTTTAAAGCAAAGGTTGTCTATTTTCTCTCCTTTCCTATCATGATAAACTAGCAGAGGACAGAAACACAGAGGGCTGATGTTGACCTTTGACCTTGACTACTAGGGGGTGGTCTTAATGCTTCCTCTTTAAAGCCATTCTCTCCCATCCCCCAGTAGTGAACCACACTGACTGACTCTTCATCTTTTACCTCTTCTGTACTTAAACCTGAGCTGTTGTAGAGGACACTTAACGACCCAATCACCGTTAAAACTTGAAATCTACAGAAAATTGACTTGATAAAATATATAAAGTTTAAAAAAAAAAAAAAAAAAACACAGAAATGATCCGAAAGCCTTTTCTACTTTAAGTGGAAACTAGTTTCAGGATTTCAGGAGCGTTCTGTAAATATATAATAATAATAATAATAATGATGATGATAATAAACTTTTTCAGTTTTATTTTTCAGAAACAAATTGCTGATGTAATTGCAGTGTCTCCTTATCCAGCAGAAACCGCAGTTGTCCGGATGCAGAGAGGTGCTTTAGATAATCCATTGATTATTAGTTTTATTTGAATTTTGTAAATATTTTCTTTCCTTTTTTTTTTTTTTTTTTTTTTTCCGCTTTCGTTATTTAAAAAAAAAATTATTGCTTCTTTTGCATCGGAAACTGGAAAGGTAATGGAACATTGCAAATAAAGGACTTATTAAGTTGCTGAGCCGAGTTTTGGTTTTTGCCTCTGATGATGATTTTACGTTGAACTAAGGCCACTCTCATCTGAAACCAGACCAGTTTATTTTCAGTTTGTATTTTTGTTTTTGTCACGTGTAAGTTAACATAGGGTCAATGTGTGTGACAGCAAAACGTGTTTGATGAGATGAAAAACGAGTCCCTCCACTGTGGTTTTACTGATCCATATTGCAATCAGTTTCTAGTTTTGAAGATTTGTCCATGCAGACCTACAAATATGGGAAAAGTGCCTTAGTACCAACTGAGAATGACTTCAACACCACAGTCTGAGTATTGTTACTGACCGTGTTCATCCTTAGATGACCACAGTGTACCCGTCGTCCGGTCAGGGCAAGTGGCTTTATTGTCATTCCAACCATGTGCAGTACACAGTGAAACAGGACAACGGTCCTCCAAGACCATGGTGCTACGTATAACAGACAATAAACACAGGACTACATAATAAAGTGCAGGTGTGCAAAAGCTGCAAAAAACCAAAAACGGTGCAACACCAGACAGAACAGAATGAAGCAGAAACAACGGTGCAACAGAAAAGTGTGATGGCTGGTTCCAGTAGAACCACGCACAAAGCTCATATCATCACAAACTGGCTTTGTGAATGTGACGATGAGCTCGCTGTACTCAGTCACCAGATCTCAATCCAAAAGAGTACCCTTGGGATGTGGTGGATCTGGAGATTTGCATCATGGATCTGCAGCACCTCTGTGATGCCAGCATGTCAGTGCTAACCGAAATCAATGAGGAATGTTTCCAGCACTTTGAATCTGTGCCAATGTATATTTTAAAATATACATTTCCTGACTTAAACCCCGATGTTACAAATTGATTTTCAGAGTAACAGATGATGCACTTTTATTTTAAAGTGTCAATCTACATAAACTATAAGAAGATATCGGGTCGTTGTGACTATTGTCGAGGCCTTGTCCAAATCAGGATATGATGCCATATAAACACATTGTAAATGAATTATAATGCAAATGAATGGACCTTTTATTAAATGTTTAGAGAGTTCACTGTCGGAGGTTGCACGGTTTTGACCTTTAACCTCGAATCACGGTTTTAATGTTTTTCTTTTGCTCTTTTTTTTTAAAGTCTGATTTGTTCATCTTGTCGCTCACAAAACTGGACAAATAAGGTCAAACTCGTGACGGAAACCCGTTTTTTGGAACGATCACCCCCTTTTTTATTTTTACTGCAGTAAGTAAATTTCAACACATCCGTCCTGCGTGCGTACTGCTGGTGCCTTAGACGAAAGGGGATTAAAAACGTGCGGTTTCTAGGAAAGACTGAAGCTGCAGGTTGCTGTGTCTTCTTGGCTGCATGGAGGGGGGCGGGTGCAATGACACCGCCTTGCGTTGATGACGCTTGCCATCGGGAGACATTCGGACAGCCTATGTAACCCACATAGCGAGCAACAAATGGTGCGTCCGTCTGTGTCGGAGATGTAGCTGATGCTGGAGTTGGGAAGATGTTTCCGCCGTCAGCGTCGCTTTAATGCTCTACTGCAGACCCTGCAGCTGGAGGACGAACAGCGCGGTGACATCTGTTGATCGGATTGGAGACGTTACAGGCATTATGACGAGCCGCCGCGGTCCGACTTACAGGTAGGTACCGAGAGTGGCTGTGCGGGGAACGATTCCGACCACACGAACCCCGATAGAGCGGTAAAGGTGCAGATAAATGGCAGGTGCTGTTGGTGTTTACCCGATGCGGGTATGGAGCTATTGGTATGCAGATGGAGACTTCAGAGATTCCCGGGGACCTGCTGCAGCATCCGCACTTCTCCTGCGTTATTTTCTGCGTAATCTGTCATCAATGGCGGGGTGATGTTTTATTCAGCCATCAGCGTTCCGCTTCTGTTGCTTGAATGCACCATTTCCAGAAGAAGAAAAAAACCCTCCTCACATATGAGCACTGCAGCTTCCTCCGAGCTGAAGATGTTTGGCTGCAGACACGCTGGCTTAGCTCGATCCCACTTGTTGGTCCCCTAAGTCACAATCAGTGTCTCTGGAGGTCTCAGACGACACATCAGCCCTGTTGTATATGTTTAGTCACGCATATGTTAATGTCAGGAAGTCGCAAACTGGTCTGCCTCTGCAGGGAGTGGACAAAACAATCCAAACACCTCGTGAGGGGGGAAAAAGGCCTAGAGCGAGTTAATTAGAAGCGCAGTTACACATGTGGCTGTTATTATCATAGGTGCTAATTAGCAGCATTTGTCAGATGTAAAAATTAAAAAAAATTAAAAAGGGGGGTGGGGATGTGTGTTTGCGTGTGTGTGCGCGCACGCTTAAAAGCACCTCACGTAATTAACTGCTCCAGAGAGGCCAAATTATATGCAGGTGCACTGGTTGGGGGAAAAAAGAATGAAACACAAGATTTACAAATGCAAGTGTGATGTTTTTAAATCATTTATTTTCTTCTGTTATTATTATTTATTATTGAATAGAAACAAAAACGGATTTTTTTTAAAAATCACAAATAGTTACTCATTAAGTTTATTGAAGGTTACATTTTTCTGTGGTCGCCTGTGGGCTGACGAATATTAAAATAGTAAAACTGCAGACATTTAAAGCAAATGAAGAGATGTGATCATCGTCTATTACCCTGCACCCTTTTTAGAGGTTCCCATAATAAGTTTGAGCTGATTAATGGGATAGGAAATAAGATTTAAATAAGAATAAGAGACCATATTTTGATCCCAGAATTCTACTAGAGTCACTTTGCATGGTTCAAAATATCCCTTATTTCTCCTGCACAGTACATTCACTCTGAAACAAGTAGTTTTAGTCTTTGCCCCTCCCATTTAAGACACTTATCTATCTGCCCCTTGCAGACACAAGGTTTGAGCAGGTAGGTGAGGCGTTTGGCTCACACTCACATGTTCTGATCTGAGTTTGAAACTGTTACACTGTTACATTTCTGACAGAAATATAAGGGAACTCTTAATGAGTACCCTTTAATCTTGTTCAGACTCTTAATGTTCCCTGACAGTTTCAGTTTCTTTTAAATTATTAAAGGAAAGAACAGATTAGGGAAAACTGCAGGACAAAAACTCACGTCACAGGCAGTTTTGGACACGTCTCCATTTGTAGTCAAGGCTTAATTTCCATATGTCCTAATCCACATTTGCAGCAGTGGCTGCCTTTGATATTCAGGTTCAAGTAAAAGCTGTAGATTTATTGTGCCTGCATGATTAAAGAGGCGAGCTGTCGGTCTCGCTGGAGGGAGCCGCTCTGAGCTGTACATGCTGGACATGTGTTGTGTTTATCAGCCTTCAGCATGAGTGACGTCTCACGGGTGTTTAACAGCTGAAGCTTTCCTCTGAACAGAGCTGGTTGCACCTTCATATCACGTCCTCCCAGAGTCCCTACCCACCTGTTTGCCTCTGACACACATTTACTTTCATGGCTGACTTCAGTGTGAGCTTTTAAATGCTGTCAGGGGCCTCGTCTTTCTTAGCCGCTTTGGAGGTCAATCTGCTTAAGGATATCTGTCCACTCATGCACGTGCTCACAGTTTCCTTTCCTGCTAGTCAGATGGCCTGAAAACACAACATATTACAAATCCATCTTGTGCTCCGGCTACTGTAAGCCACATTGTAGATTTTGCTGACCCATCACATCTGCTCAGTGTGGCCATGTGTGTTTGTTGTGGAGTTAGTTAGGTAGCGCTATCATTTTAATCTGCAGCTTTGCAATGAAGAGGCCCAGCTGGAGCTGCTTACCCGTGCTGGTCACACGCCATATGTTTGCTCAGACGCATGGAAACTGCCGCAATTGCGCTCGCCTCCCTCCACCCCAACCATTCTAACCGGTTGCACAGGCTTATCGTGGCTTTAGCATCTGTGCGGTAAATGTAGGCCATTGATGTTTGCTTGTCTGGCTGGTGGTTTAAACCAGTGAACGCAAGCTGTGACTTTTAGTCGTTTGTGCGCTGTGCCGTGATACCATCTCTGCACGTCCACGATGAAGCTGAGGTCCAGGAGTAGAGAAAGAATGGAGACAAAAACAGAGGAAGAGGTAGGAAAATCAAGAGGTTTTATTTCTTGAACTCGGTCTGTGCGCCAGATTTGGTGTCATCTGTAATAAAAGCTGTACAATATAAACAAGTGCGGGAATACTGAAATGGCAGACTAATTCTGAATGTGGCGCACAAATCTAGTTTTTCTTTCTAAAAACTAATAATTTTGTTTTACAGGTGAAATTTGAGGAGATTGAAATGATTCCAAAGTCCGGAAAATCTCCAGCAGACTCACGGAAATCTGCCGGCATTCATGAGTTTGCAGCGCTTGCCAGATCCTCCTTGAATGGTGATGATCTTTCTAGCACTAGCCTCGTTATCATCTATATGCTGTGAATTTAAACATGAAACCCTGGCCTTTACCTCTCCCCCGTCCAGGTATCTCTCAGGCAGTGAGAGACCACATGACAAAGCCCACCTCGCTGGCTCAGGGCCGGGTCGCTCACCTCATCGAGTGGAAAGGTTGGCCTAAACCTGCAGCTCCTTCACTGGCCGCACACTCCCAGTTCAGCTCCTACTGCAATCTGACTGAAGGGGAGAAGGAGGCTCGTTTTGCTGCAGGTACTGACTTCTTTGACCTTCTGACCTCTCGGCCAGCAGAATGTTTGATATTCAGATTAAAATGCTATTCGAGAACACACATACAGGATAATTAGCTGTAATTTTTTTTGTGTGTGTGTGTGGGAACATGCATCCTCTCATCTGGCTTTCTCTCACCTTCTGTCATGCATCTAATGCCCTAAAACTCCTGCATGTTAGCGGTTTGCTCCGCCCACCATCGTGTCTCCTGGGTGACGGCTTGTCTTGGCAGCAGATGGTGGCCTGTTAGATACTCTCCCCAATCACTTCACTGGCCACCAATGTTACAGCAGCTCCTGTTGTTTTGCTGTGACTCATCATCTGTGGCACCAGTGCCATTGGTGTGGATTGATCGAGAGAGAAAGAGAGAGAGAGAGAGAGGCTGACTGATATGCAGCTGCGTATGCCACACAGCGAAGCTCGCGAACTTAAACAATTAGCTGTGTTATGATAATATTAAATTGAATGAAATTATTTTCTGTAATGAATTTTTTGGGTCACTTTAAGTAAAAGCAGAAAACTATGTGTTAGTTTCTTTTTTATGGGTCATTTTTTCAAGCCGTTTGAATAGGTAACCCTGGGAATTCTGATTTGACGCTCTTATTTAAGGCTCATAGTGACACATCGGTGGCAGAGATGACTCAGACAATGTCACACTCAGGTAAATTAGCAAATAATAGGAGGATAGAAATTCACCTTTACTCCTCCCCCCTCCCTTTTGTATTGCTTGGACCATTAACATCCAGAGAAGATTGTTGCTTCCATCTGCAGTAATTTATATTTGTTGTGTTGTGGGACCTCGCTGCACTTTAACATGTGTATGTGAAAGGGCGTAGGCAGAGAGAGGCAGCAAGAATCCTGGTCATGCAAACAACTTAATAGACATGGCATGAAGAGGACCATGGGTTGCAATGTGGCTTGCAGTATGAGTATAAGCTGAGCTATCAGCTGGTCCACGTCATCACTAGAATACTCACTTTGTTTCTGTCCCGTATAAGATGTTGTGAGATAAAGATAAGCAAGATGATTCACTTTTTTTCTCACCGTATTGCAGACAACATTAGTAAATACACAGTTTAGAGTTTGAAATGACATTACAGCCACCTTAATCTAGCTTCATTTGTCGGACCTGTTTTCCTGCTAGGAGTGGCCGAGCAGTTTGCCATCGCGGAGGCTAAGCTACGTGCTTGGGCATCTGTGGATGACGATGATGAGGAAGATTTCAATGATGAAGACTCCCACATCAGCGGACAGACTCACATGGTATCCAGCCAAAACTCAGGTATCCAACTTTGCATCATTCTACATCAAACATCTCATCTTTGCACCCTGTCACCTCATCGGTGAATCCACTTCCCGCTCTTCTGACTCTTTGTTCCTCCTTCAGAAGCCACCATCTACAGTTCCACCTCTGGAGCACCGCCCGGGGTGGACCGGACTGAGACGCCACCATCCGATGGTCCCCTGGGCTCCCACAACAGCAGCCTGCCCTGTGGCAGGCTAGCAACTGAAAATGCCCCACAGTCATCACAAAGCAACTCACCCACTTTGCCCAGCGACTCCATGAGTACGTGCCTGGAGGAGGAGGAGGAAGAGGAGGAGAGGCTGGATAGCCTCGAGGAGCAGCCGGCTCCTTTGCAGGAGCACCGCAGCGAAGTGTGCATCCACAGCAAGCCCGAGTGGAGGCCGAGGTGCAGGAGCAGCAGGTTTGACTCCTGCTACTCCACCTCTCACTCCGAGTCTCCTGGAGAGGAGGACGAGGAAGACGAGGAGGAAGAGGAAGGCAGCGTGTTTCACGAGGTCCGGGTGTGGCACTGCAGCCCCAGGAGCTTTTTCTCTGACCGGGCGTCTTCCGGGGTGGCGTCATTCGATGAGGAAGAAGAAGAGAGAGAAGAAGCAGAAGGAAAAAAAGAGTATTTGATGTGATGTGTCGTCCACCTTTTTGTCCCCTTGAGTCTGTGTTGATTCTGGATATTATGCTTCATCCTTACACCTCTCCTCCTCCTCCTCTTCTCCTTCCTCCTCCACTCATTCTGTCTCCTGTCTCTCATCCTCCAAGCCTTTCATACTGATCTTGCTCCACTGTTTATCGCTGCTGTAAACAGTCAATATGTTGAGAGAGTTCAATCAGAATGTAATGCTGTTGTTCACTAAGTTTTGTACGTTTATTTTTTGTGTGTGTGTGAACAGTCATGTGTTGCTATTGCATTGGTTTTCTATGGATATTTTCTAGTGTTGTTTCCTCTGGGTCACGCTGTGTCACGTGGGTTGGGCTCTGTTTGATATTGAATGCCTGAATGTCTTGCATATATAAATATGAGTTTTTGAAAGAATATACTTTGTTGTTGTTTTATTTTTTCTCCGCAATCCAAAAAGCAAGAAAGAAACACGACTGCTCGTTTACCCTTCAAATGCAGTTTTTTTTTCCCTTTAAATTTAATCATTCACTCATGTACAAAAACAAGTTCATGTCCTCTGAAAAATAACAATGGCTGTTGACTGCAAATGCATAATTCTCCTATGTACAATAGCATGTGCGTAACTCTTTCATATATATATACAAAGCATATACAGGCCAGTGCCATATAAAGGGAGATACTACAGACTTATTGCTTAACTAGATACGCTGCAAATGAGCTTATACACTCTCTAAGTTTAACTCCTTTATAATTAATCTTATATGGCAAGCACTACTTCACATTCCTAAATGCAAACAAGAAAAAAAAGTTAAGACATTAATAAAATCTCTGCACAGATACCTGCAAGGAGAAAAAAAACAAACATTTGAAGGTCGTAACAAGGACTCACACACACGCTTGTAGCTCTACAAGGTTTTTTTTCCTTTTTTGGGGGGGACTTGTGGGTGTCACGGGCTTCAGACAGTAGTTACATTTCTCAACGCTGCATTAGAGGTCAGGCTGGAGTAAATGTCATAAAGACACGTGGTAACATATCGTGATGTTTAATATCTACAGGCCACGTACGGTACGGTATATGTGTGTATTATACGTATAAATGTGTGTGTGTGTGTGTGTGTTCTCTATACAACAGCCAGTATATTCCTGTAACTCAGAGCCAAAGCGTTGTTCCTTCATCGCTAGACACGAATGTAGAGGCAGTTCAGTCTGCATTGCCCTTATTAAGCCAGACAAGGCTACACGTGCATTAAATTATAGTCATGGTAATTACAATGTGCTTCACTGTTCTTTAGAGCCCTGTACTAAAGCTTGGTGGACATTTGGAAGCTGCCTTTGTCGATGTGTTTATAGTTCCCAGCTCATTGTGGACTACCGGGGGCTGATGCAACCAGTATTTAATAGCAGAAAAAGAAGAAGAAAAAACCCGCCCAAACCTCATGATATGCTGCAACATGAAGCTCTGACAGGACAGCAGAGTGTTATAAATAATGTAGTCTGAACCTTTACTGCATTGTTAATGTAAATTTATTGCCTATCACCGAAACACATAAAACAACACCGCAATACGTCTTAACATTATGACCCTCGGATATATAAACCCACCGCTAGTGAATAGGTAGTTGTTTGAAGTCATACCATCGTGTGCTCATTAGAAATGTTCTTTGTTTTTCTGTGCTTTCTCTTATTGTTTTGATTTTTCCACTCGCAGTTAATCGTACGTCACTCATTTCTGTCCTTGTAATGTTTGGCATCATGTTTACAGGATGTTGATTTGGCATGAAGACCCAAAAGTTACGAGTCTGATCCAGATTTGAGTGTGGCAAAGAAAGTTGCACTCTCGCACACACATACACACACACACATATATATGCACACATATCACACACACATAAAAGATAAAGCTGGAGGTGGTGTTCTGTGTTTTTGCTGTCAACAAATCCCAGAAAAAAGACCAAACTAACACCATCTTACTTGACAAAAGCAGCCTGTGGTGTTGGAAGTAGGTTAGTGGGTCTGGAAACTTAATGAACCACAGAGTTGTACTGCTGGACGTGATTCTCTATTACAATAGAGGCAGTTGTAGTTTCCACCACACGCTTCCTAATCTATCTATCTATCAGAAACGGTACATAGCTTCTAATACGATTTCTTTATTATTCACTACGTTTTTGTAATGTTATCTAAAAACAAGCTGCGTTAGAAAACCATTCTTGCTCAGGGGGCTGGGGTGGGGGTGTTCCTCTATTATAGTCAACAGGAGTTATATCCCTCACACACCTCTCTGGCCATGTAAATGTATTTAATCCACGCTAAAAATAATCCTAACCAATAATGCACCGGCGTAACATGATGATATTACAGGATAGCAGTTTATGTGGGTTTTTTTTTATCAGACTACTGGTTCATGCAGTTAACCTCTGCATGTAGTGTTTGCTACTGTTGAGTTTTATCATTTACCTCATTAAAATTATTTTTACTTGAATTACAACTGGTAATTCATGTTAAATGTGACTAATTAATAGGGATGGGTATTGATAAGATTTTCACGATTCCGATTCCATTTTCGATTCTGTTTAACGATTCGATTCTTTATCGATTCTCTTATTGATTCTTTTTAAAAAAGGAGAACACTAAGTTCGATTAGCTTAGAACTTTGTTTTATATCTTCTCTTTGAACAAGATAGAAACATAGGAGTAACATGGCCTTACAAACCCAACAATGACATCTTAAGAGATCCACAGCCTACGGCTCTTCAATGGGGTGTCACAGGGTCCCCAGGAAAAAAAAATTGTAAATGTAAAATAATAAAATAAATATTCTTCTGTAGCAATAACAAAGTATAACATAAATGATTCTGTAGCAATTACACAAGAATATCCAGTAATGTCCCTGCCTACAATTAAACACATTCACTTACCGAAAATTAGGGGCATCTGCTGTGGCAAATGGGTTCAAGCCTTTTACCACAAACTTAGCCACTGCTCTGTGACGTTCGTCTATCCTGGCCTGAAAGGAGACGCTAACGGTAGACTGCAGCGACAACTGCCAGCATCTGAGCCAGACTCTGTCTCTCTCATCATGATCACCTAAATGCGCAGTAATGGCAGGTTTTGTAACAAGGCAGATCGCGCTAACATAATATGCACTGTTAGTTGATTATTTACCTGCCGCATTAACGGGAGAGGACGTGCAAACGTTACCGCTGCTGCTGGGTTGAGATTAACGAGTCCGGAGCGGAATTAAAAACACGACATTCATTTAAGGTTATCACGTGTTTTGTGAGCAAATGCTTTTGCATATTCGTAGTGTTTCCTCCCTTAAATGAAGTATCTACTTTGCAAGTATTGCAAGTTGCCCTGTTGTCATCCGTTCTTGTAAAGTATAACCAAACTTTTGAGTGTTTGAGCCGCTTACGCGCCGTGTTTCCTGCCAGGCAAATGACGCTCCGCAACGTGGTGACTGGAATCGATAAGGGAATCGTTTCCAAAAATGGCAAACAACTCCAAGGAATTGAAACAGTGGTTTTCGATACCCATCCCTACTAATTAATGATATTTAGTGTCCACTATGTGGACAAAAGCATTGGGCCCCTACACACCACACATACAGGAGCTGCTGGTCTATGAAAACCCATGTCATGTGTCATAGTCCTGGGTGTGACCCAGTGTTTTGTATTTAATTTAGATTTTTTGATTATTTGTTATTCATGGTTTCCGTTCTCTTGAGGTTATATTTTGTTGTTCTAGTTTCAGACAGTATGCCCTCCCTGTGTCTGTGTTATGTCTTCTCTGTGCTTTTTTTCCCCCCTGTACTACAGTTCATGCCTCTGTCTCAGCCTCTGTCAAGTCCGTGTCTCTGTGTTATACTTCTTGTTTTACTTTGACAGTGTGTCTGTTGACATTGTATTCCTGTTTGCTTCCTTTGTCTTGTTAGTTCTGATTAACTCTCAGCTGTGCTCTCCTCCTGTGTCTCATTCCCTTGTTATCCCTCTGTGTTTATAAGCCCTGTGTTTTCCTCTGCTCTTTCTTGCATCATATCTTCATTATGCTTTGCGTTTCCCCGCCGTCTTTCCAGCCATAACCAAGTTTACAGTTTCTGGTTTGTTTTTTAATTGAAGTTTCTTGCTTCCTGTTTCTAGTTTAGTTTTGTATTTAATGTTAGTTTTTTTCCAGGATAAAAGTTGCCATTTTAAGTTTATTTCTCTGTCTTGAGTCCGTCATCCTGCCTGCCACATAGCACATTGTGACACCATGAAGCTCCCAGTGCACAGTTTTTGTGCTGATCTTCCACAGCATGTCTTTATCCTGTTTTCCTTCTCTCACCCCAACAGGTTGCAGCAGATGGCCCCTCCCTGAGCCTGGTTCTGCCGGAGGTTTCTTCCTGTTAAAAGGGAGTTTTTCCTTCCCACTGTCATCAAAGTGCTTGCTCATGCTTCCTCACAATCATATAATTGTTGGGTTTTTCTCTGTGTGCATTATTGTAGGGTCTCCCTTACAATATAAAGCACCTTGAGGTGACTGTTGTTGTGATTTTGTGCTATATAAATAAATTTGAATTGAATTGAAAAATATTAATGCCAGAGGAGGACTGGAGCTCTTTGACCTCACTCTGACACTTTGGGACTGAGTTCCTGTGGTTGCTAAACACTTCCACTTTGCAATAAAACCACTTACAGTTGATTGTGGAATATCCAGGAACAGTAGCATTCTCAATCAGAGTTAAATGAAACACAACCTGACTAATACTGTCGTCGTCGGAGCGATTCCTATGACCTGTAGATGGACAGACAGGCGGGTGACAGATGTAATGCCATAGCTAAAATAAATGAATAAATAAAGTACATTTTTGCTCCCTGATGACTTTTACTGTAATGAGGGCTGTCCATAGAGAACAACCTTAGTCCCTACTCTTCCCTACAGTCACATGTACTGACGCTGAGGCATTACATGTGAAAGCACTCTGTATCCCTTAAGCATCATTGTATTTTTGTAAATTGTGTATTTTAATCCAAAGTTGTTTTCTTTGTTTGCTTTTAGCATAAACCAAGTGTTGTTGCCTCAAACCAACAAAACACACAAAAAAAGGAAATGTTCAGCCCTAAAGGGAAGTGCAGAAGCAGCAGTCACAGATGAGACTCACCCCCCTTTTTCACGTTTTTTTTTTCCACAAACCTTCCTAAATCTTTTTTTTCTGTGATTTCATCCTCGTCCTCATTGTACTTTGTGCAATAAAATAAGAGGAGAAAAAGGATCCTATTGGCCATTTTAATGTTTGTGTGCCTGGACTTTAATGATAAGTATGTTTGAATCTTTAAGGGATTTGGGCTAATGCAGTTTAAAGAGAGCAGCTTCAGTGTGAAATAGCACACTGACCAACTCCCCTCAAAACTCAGCTGTGCAGGGACTGAGAGATG